GAGAGAGAGAGAGAGAGAGAGAGAGAGAGAGAGAGAGAGAGAGAGAGAGAGAGAGAGATGGATGAATGTGATTATATATATATTAACATCTAATTGTTTTAAAAAGTTTGTGTAAAATTGTTAGATTGTGGATGACAATAGAAAAAGAATGCTTAATGGACTTAAATATAGTATTATAAATGCGAAAACGTATGTCTACGCAAGTATTTCATTAGATATATATTAGTGAAGTTTATATCTTCGGCATCTTTGTAGAACTTCGAAAATATCTACAACATAATATACTTTAATAGTGTGATTTCAAAGTTTACGCAATTTATTGAATATATATATATAAAATTCCTACTAAAAACAATTTTTGATACTAACCAATATTATTTTTGTCCAAGCACTTAATCTTGGAATGTTCCTCCAATTATCTGTGATTATATTTTGCATCTAATTTAAAGGCAATTCATTGAAAGATTTTCTTCATGATAGTTTTTCTTTTACTTTTTCAATAGTTTTACATATGCAAAGATTTTGCATTTATATAATAAGTGAGATATAAGTTTGATTTTATAAAAAATCACTTATTACAATTTACTGTTCCAATGATTCACATCCAATAAAACATATTCTTCTCTTGACAGCCAAAATGGATTACCTTCTATATATTCTGGTGGTGTTTTGTCTAAATTATAAGTTAATAATATATATATATTATATTTTATTGTATTGTTATGTAATTTTTTAATGATAATTAATATTATATAACTACCAGGATGTACAGTTAAAGGCACATATGTAGAACCCATTGCAACATTCCAACTATGAGTACCAGGACAACTTCTTACTTCTAATATTTTGCTATATTCTGGTAATAATTCTCGTAAATCTTTAGTTAATCTTAATCCAAAACCTGAAAGATGTGTGTTTCCTCCAGTAAGTAATATATGTGAAAGACAATCGTGTAATACTTCTTCTGATAAACCAGCTGTTATATCTTTTATTACTTGTGGTAAACCAAGGTTGATATACATCATTTCAGGAGCAATGTACAGTTCTGAACCTAGAGAAACTCTCTAAAAAATATAAATAAATCTTGTAATTTTAAATTTTGTAAAAATTTTATGTATATGTATATATATTTACTAACCAAAAATTGCTTATTATCAGCATAGCTTCGAACTCTAACTTTAATACATTCCCCAGCTTTTTGTCCTATTTTTTTCTCTTCATTTTTAATATTATAACTTAATCTACATCTTTCTTTAATAGGCAATGTGTCTAAATATGATATAGGAATATGATAACATCCTTTTAGATACCAATGCATAGCTTGTTTTAAATGATAAGCTACATGCCAACCACCAACAGGCAATAATCTCCAACGTTGTGGTATAACACGTCCACCAATTACAACAGCTACTGTTGTACTTAAAGCACCACTATCAACTACTACACAAGTTTCCACATCCAGCATTGCACATGCTGCTAAAGGTTTAGGAACCAGACATACTCTAGAAATTTAATTATATATTTTTTAAAAATATGTTTTATTGCAACATACATTTATCTTACCTTGATATTTTAACTTCTTGAAATAAATAATGTAACAATTGTTTTCTTAGCATTGGATGCATAGCTAAAGGTTCACAAAACATGAGTACTGCATTAGGTTTTCTTAATGTTGAAGTTAATGTCATCTGATGAAATAAATGACCAACAAATGTTTTAAGGACAGGAAATGTTCCTTCACTTAATAATGCTTCTGCTGGACTAACAAGATCAACATTTGGAATTCCAAGTACTTCAACAGTATCAGTGCAATATCCATTTATAAGTTTTTCATAAATTGGATTTGGCCTTGCATAACATGTTGGATCATTTTGATGAGTAATTAATCTCTTTTTCTCTCTATATAATTTTACAGAATTACAAAAAACACAAAATGGACCACTAGGTCTTGGAATTTTAGCAGTTGCTAATTCAGTTAATTTCAATAATTTTAATTTTTTAGTTAATGATTTGCCATCACATTTTGGATGAGTACTACTACTTGGAATATTTTGTGTTTGTTCCAAATATGTTTCATTATTATATTTAGGTACACCAAACATTGAAAAATGTCTTCTTAATTCAAAATGTGGTGCAATTACCCATGTATATTTATTTCCAATTTCAATTACTACTTTTGCACTAGAACCTTCAACACAATTTCTTTGACATGTATAACCACTGCAATGACGACATTTTGGAAAATGAACAGTTTCTCCTAATGTAATTACCATATATAATCTATAACATATTGCTTTAAAATTAACATTAAGTAGTTGCAAACATTTTATATCTGGAAATCTAAAGTGTACTTTTGAAATCAATTGTAACCACTTTATTTTCCTGAAAGAACATAAATGAATAATTTAAAAGTTTCATTTGGAAAATATACATTTTTAAAATTATATATTTTAATGAAATCATTAACAATCTTTTTTGATGAAAAAATTTTTAAAAGAAAATTTTAGTTAATAATTCAATAATTTATAAAAATATTATCTATTTTAGTCTAACAATGTAACTATGTTTTTAATGATATATTTTTTTATTTATTCTTTATGTAAGTTAAATGAATTTCACTATATTTTTAATATAAATTTTTAAACTTACCACAAATAATCAGTATCTGAAGTTTTTCTTAAATGTTTGCACGTACTACCGATAGCAATAATATCAGGTACATCACAATATAATAAAATTTTTATCCAAATTTCGTCAGGGAAAATTGAAGGATCCATAATTATTAATAAAAATTAATACAAAATAGTTATACAAGTAAAAGATACAATTAATAGTTACTAATATAAGATTGCAGACACTCCCCAGAAAGTGAATACGTTAGTCAAGTTCAAGGTTACACTTGATGAAAATAGTGAATCAATATGTTACCGACGGATGGTACTTCAATAAAATTATCAAACGATTTAGAATCATGATTATAAAAATTTAATATATATATATATAATAAATAAAAATATAAATTTATATATTATACATATATGACAAATATAATAAAGTATAAACATATATAAAATATATAATATCTTTAATTATATATGATATACAAATTTTTAAATATAATATATTCTATTAAAATTTTGAATGAATAGATTAAACAAATAAAACAAAGAAAACAACAAAGTTATTCAGATATTCTAAACACATAAAAATTGCAAAACAAATATAGATAAAAAGAAATAGTGAAAGAACAATAGAAATAAGATAAAAATTAGAAAATTAATTAGTATGTTGAATAATAACTAGAATGTTGCGTCCATCGCTGGTGAACTTTAGCGATGCTCCATAGTTGCGTCAGTGAAATTAAAGAAGAACACGTCGATGCACGTGAGAAAGGGTAGTGTGGTCCCGGCGTCACTAAACGAATTGTTCGAAGGAGCAATAATATTCAGCCTGTCCGAAAATAAGCCATAATGAGGCAAGTCGCGCAACGTACCGGAGATGTTCGTCGAGACTTCCCAGTGCTCCCTGAAGGCATTGAAAGGCCATCGCAGGGTTTTAGTCGGTAAAAGTCAGACACTAACACGGTATCACCTCCAGAGAAGCCGGGTGCCCCCGAGGATTTTTCCCACGTTAAAAAAAAAGTATCTAAATTTGAAAAAGAAAGAAGATTAAATATATAATAAGATACGCGAATCAATCATGCACTTATCCAAATTAAATTTCTACGGCTTTAGAATTTTTATTGTATTGTCGTAATATTCACATTATTATTAAGAACGCAAAATACGATTATAATGAATACTCATTCAAGCGAACATAATAAAAAAATAGTAAAAAAAATTTTTAATGCCATCTCTTTACAAATCATATCTTTCTGTTAAAAAATCAAAAATTTCAGTCAGAAAATTTCTAAAATCAATCTACGAAAAACTTTTAGTGCCCTTTACATATCATATTCTTTTATTAAAAAATCGAAAAATTTGGCCACAAACTTTGTGAAATCGATTTAATTTTTAAAAATTTTATATGAATAATTTATGAAATAACTATTCAATTCTATTTTTAATATTTCTAGAAAATAGAAAATAGTTTTCTATTGAATAATATTTCTTGATTGTTTTTTTCGATTTTTTATTTATAATGAATCGAAATAAGAATAACTACATCATTTTTAATAAACTGTTTCAAAAGCATCACCATATCAAACTAATTTGTAAAATTAAAACAATTCTTCTAACAAAAAAATATCTATTTATGGTAGGAATACATTATGAAAATAAATAAATAATAATAAATGAATAAAATAAGAAATAATGAAATGAAATAAATAAATCGGTTTATATGAATATCATATGGATTGGTAATGAACGAACAAATTAATAATAAAGATATAATAATATAATAATATATAAACTATGTAAATTGATTTTTGAAACTCACCGAAAATAAATCGGGAATAGAGCAGCTTTTTTAATGAATCCAGTATACCGTTTCTAACGTTGATTCTTCTTTATTCTTCTGCAGAATAACTGCAAATGATCAAATACATCCTTTTATAAACTTTTCGGTAGCATCGTTCCACCAATCAGAATGAAAGAACAAGCTAATTGGTGCAGAGGTGCTTCTTTTTTGAAAGC